ATATTTATCATTGATATGGATGAAGATTTTGGAATGGATAATGATGATATGGATGATAACTATTATGATTTTGATGATGATGAGGAGGAGGAAACGGATTATGATGATGGTGGTGGGGGTGGTTTTACTCTCCTTTCCTATTTTCTACTCTATTCTACTCTCATCTAATCTACACTCTCCTCTCCTCTTCTTTTACCCTACTTTACACTATATTTTACTCTTCTGTCCTTTCTTCTCCTGTCCTGTCTTCTACCCCCGTCTCCTCTACCCTCACTTCAACTCTCCTGTCCTTTACTGGCCTGTACTCCACTCTCGTCTGTACTCTTTACTTTCCAATTACTCTCCTCTACACTATTTTCCTCTACTGTTTGGACAGATAACTCCGACACATAGATAACCCCGACACTTCATTAATATAATTGTTTGAACTTTGTTTTTGAACAAACAAGCATGATTACCTAGTAGTATCGAAGCAGGACAGAATATGATCATTTTTTGTAATTTAACCCTTTTAAAATTTTTTTAAAAAAAAAAACCTTTTACTTTTTGGCAAAAATTTTCCAAATCTTTTCCTTCTACTATATTCCCAAAAAGGGTAGTTAAAACCTGTATTAACAAAAAGGCCCCCCAACGTTTGGGGAAAGAGTTTGAAAATTTTTTTTAAAATAAAAAAAATTTGGGAATTAAAACATTTTAAGTTTGTAAAAAAAAATTATTGATCAAATTTTCCCTGTCTTTGTTTATTTAAAAAATTTTAAATTTGACAGTGTGGTTAAAAGAGCATGTTTTGAAACCCTCATTCAGGCCCTTTAAAAAATTTAAAATTTTTCCTTTTTCTTTACTTTTATTTTTGTTGTTAATGTTAAAGTTTTGAATTAAAATTTTTTGGGTTTTAAAACCTATATAAAAAAAATTTTACGGGAAGAAAATTTAACCCCTTTATGCCAAAAAAATATGTGTTAGTGTGGAATTTATCCCCCCCCAACCGTACTCAACAAAAACTCAATTTTACCTTTTAAAAGATTTCGCCCTGTTTAGCAATTTTTTAAACTAAAGAGTTATAAAAGCCAAAATTTTAGGACTTTTACCCCTTTATAAAGTCCCTTTTTTCAAAAAATAATTTTTTATTTTTCCAATTTTACTCAAAAGGATTTTTTAAAATAAAATTTTAATTAGAATTTAATTTTCCCCTTTTAAAAATAAAAAATTTATTTTTAACAAATTTAAAACCAAAAACCCCAAAAACAAAAATTTTAAAACTTGGGTTTTTGATAACCCCTCTTTCACCATATAATAATAACAATACAAATGAAAATACAAAATTTTAATTATTTTAAACTAAAAATTTAATGGGAAATACATTTTGGAATGTTAAATTTTTTGAAACAGGAATTTTTTTTAAGAAATTTGGTAAAATTAAAAAATCTTTAAAGAATTTTAATTTTTTAATTTTACTTTAATCATTATTTTAATTTTAAATTTCCCAGAGAATTTTTTTATTTTTTGGGAAAATTTTCATTTAGCGCTAAAAAAAATTCAAATAAAGAAAAATTGTAAAAAAAGAAGGGGATAACTACAAATTTTTAAACTTTGAAAACCTTTTTTAAACCTTTTATTTCCCCTTTAAAAGGGGGAGGTCAAAAAAAAACTTTTAATACATAAGTTTTAAATTTTATGGTTTTTCACTTTATTATTTTAAAAAACAATTAAGCCCAAATTATATTCATTTTAAAATTATTTTTTAAAACCCATATAAAATTTACTAAAATCAATGTATATTTTGGGAAAACTGAAAAAACACTCCCCTTTGTACAGGTATTCGTTTGAAAAAATCCCAAACATTAAAACCCAAAACAAATTTTATTTTTTTAAATTTAAAAACAAAAAAAACTAAAATTGAATTAAACCCCAATGGATTAACTTTGAAAATAATGCGATTTTAAAATCATAAAAATCAGGTATATAACCTTAAAAATTTAAAAAAATTATTTTAGAATATTGTTTTTACCCTAGATATTTCCTTTGGTTTTTAACTGGATTTCAGTTTTTAAATTTGATTTTTTTCTATTTTACTTTTTAAACTTTTACGGCAACAAACTAGCTAATCATGTGGTGCCCTAATTAAAACCTTAAAATCTTTAACTATTGCCCAGAAATTTTAAATCGAAGTTTTTCCCCTTAATGTTTTTAAAATGGTAATTTTTGTGTTTTTAAATTTTTTTCCTTTTGAATTCTGTAAAATTTTAATTTTTTTTAAAAAACTAAAAGATTTAAAAGTTTTGTTGTATAAGTCCACCTCTTTTAATATGTAATCAGAAATAAATCCTTATAAAATTTAATTTTGAAAACGCTGAATTTATGAAAAATTTTTTTTTTCACTTTTTAAATTTCCCGGCCATTTTTTGACTTTATGTTTTCTTACGAAATTTGTTGCTTTGGGCTAGCTCTTTTTTTCGATGATAAAAAATTCTTTACTTATATTTTATTTTTTGGGCAAATATCATCTGAGACATGGAATTTTAAATTTACCTTTTGTGGGAAATTTACGAAGGGAAAATAAAAAATACAGATTTAAAATAATGTTTTGATATTAGGGTTTATGTAGGGCATTTCGTTTCTTCTTTTAAAAGCACTTTTTTCCCTTCTATTTGTATATTATTACTTTTTGATCTGTTTCTTTATTTGTTATTTTAAATTTACAGCCCCAAAAAAATAAAAACCCCACTTTTCTACAGCTTTCCTATATTTTATTCTTTATTTTTTCATCATTAAATTTTATTCCCTTAATATCATTTCACTTTAAATTTGCAGGGGGGGCCCCTTTCATTTTTTAAAAAAAACCCTTCCCCGGGGAAAAACTATTTCACGCATGCCAACTTTGGGTAAAAAAAATTCTCTAGGGTTGCCCCCAAAAAATTGGTTTTCTTTCTTTTAATTTAATTATAAAAGCTTTTGTTTTTTCCTTTTAAAAATTAATTTCAAAATTTTTTTTTTAAAGCATTATTTTTTAAATTATAATGCATCTTTTCATTTAAAGGGGAACAAATGAGTTGTTTTTTAAATTTTTCCGAAGTACTTTGATTCAGACATTTTTATTTTCCCCAATTTAAATTTTTTAAAAAAAATTTACTAAATTGTTTTAAATTCTTTCAGTTTTTTCCCGAAATAAAAAAAGGGGGAAAACCCTTTAAATAAAGCTAACATATTACAAAATTTTTTAAATTTATTGTTGTCGTTTCCATAAATCCCAAAAGGAATGCAAAACATATTGTCATAAAAATTAAAAGTGGTTATTCCCCCTTTTTAACAATAAGCTTTATTATTTTTAAAAAAAATTTTTTAAAAAAGGCCCCAATCAGGAGAAAAACAAAGTTTTGTATTTAACTTTCTTTAACCCCTTAAATTTTAGAATTATCCTAAATAGGAGTTACAAATTCTGTTAAGATCTTTTTAAAAAAAATTTAAAGCTGTTATTTTTAAAAAAAAAAAAAAATTTTAGGGAGAGAAATTGGAGAGAACAGAAGACTGTGGAGTACAGGACAGTGGAGGAAAGGAGATTTGAAGTGAGAGTAGATGAGTCGAGGGTAGAGTAGAGGACAGGACATTACAGGGGAGGAGAGTAAAGGAGAAGAGAGGGAGAAGAGGACAGAAGAGTAAAGTGCAGAGTAGAGTAGGGTATAAAAGAGGAGGATAGGGTGTCGAGAAAAGTAGAGTAGAATATAATAGAAAAAAGAAAAGAAGAGTAGAAGAGAGGGAAGAGTAGTAGAGAATAGTTTAGAGTAGAGGCGAGAGTAAAGGGTAGAGAAAAGTAGGATAGAGTAGAGTAGAATAGAGTTGAGAAGAGGAGAGTAGAGTAGAATAGAGAAAGGTGGAGTAGATTTAATTAGAGTAGAGGAGAGAAGAAATGAGTTTAATAGAGAAAAAGAGAGGAGAGTAGGGGAAAGGATAGTAAAAAAAGAAGCTTGGAAAAGAGAGTAGAGATGTGAAGCATAGACTTCAGAGAAGAGGACCGAAAAAAAAGAGTATATATGTGTAGTATAGATAATAGAAGAGTAAAGAAAAGAAGAGTGTAGAAGAAAGTAGAAGGGATTAGAGTAGAGTAGAGTAGAGAAGGGAAGACTACAGTAGATTAGAGTAGAGAAATGTTGAGTAGAGAAGAGAAAAATAGGGTAGAGTAGAAGAGAGGAAGGTAGAGTAGTGGTGTGCAGTATATTTTAGAGAAGAATTCAGTAGAGTGTAGAGGAGAGGAGGGTAGGGAAGAGTAGAGTAGGTTAGAGATGAGTAGAGGAAAGAAAAGTAGAGAACAGTAGAGTAGATTAGACTGTAGTGGAGAGAAGGTAGAGGAGAGGACTGGGGGTTAGAGAATAGTAGAGTGTAGAGAAGAGGCTTGGGGTTAGAGTGTATAGTAGAACAGAGGTGTGTAGAGTGTAGTATAGAAAATAGTTAAGGAGACGACAGAAGAGCAAATTAAAGGTGTGTAGCTTAGAGTCAAATAGAGTAGAAGAAGACAGAGGAAAGTAGAGGAGAGGACAGAGTGTAGAGTACAGTAGAGTAGCGAAGAGTAGAGGAGAGGTCTAGTGTAGCGGAAAAGAAAAAGGGCGGGTAGAAGATTATAGAGTAGAGTAGAGAAAAGTAGTAGAGTAGGTAGTGTAGAGTATTGGATACAATGACAAAGAAAGCAGTAGAGCTCAGATTTTGCATGAAGTATTGTCGAATGGACCTCTACATCTTTTTGACCATAAATACGGTTGCAGAAGCAATTTGTTTCTTTGACCTTGGTTTCCTACAGTTTTTAAAGATAGATCAAACTGCATATTTAAAACCTAGATATTGGCTCAATTTCCTAAATGTTTGTATTTATAGCTACTGTATTTCAATTTTGGACAGAATATGCAGAGTTGTTGATGAAGATTTGTATTTTGATATCAGTTGAATTATTGTTTACCCAATTACATACTTTTTGCTTACCTTAGCATTATATGTCTTGTTAAGAAGTGTTTCTAAGGTGACGTACCATCATCATTATCATAATCATCATCCCCGCCACAACCTTCACTTACATCCTCCTCCTCCTCATCATCATCAATTGGCAGTGGTGTACTCCCTTATCAAAATATTTAATTGATATCATCCTGTTGTTAATCTCCTGCCTGAGATATTTATTAGTTTACAGTTGCTTGGATGACTTGAAGGTTAAAGTGGCATACTAGATAAGCTTGATTAATTTATAAAATACAGTAAAAACTACTTGTAGTAGCAAAGAGGTGCTTTACAAAGTACAATATAATTTTTCTGTCTTTGTTTTGCTGTTTTCTTTGCCAAAGGTCTTATCAATGTTGATTGTAAGGAATTTCTTTTGAATAACTGCTTTTACTACAAACTTGACTGTTTCTTCATTTTTAAAGTATATTCATACTGTTAACATGACATAACTTAAGTAACCAACTTACTAAGTTCTCTCCGCATTAAATTGTTAAAATTGCTCGAGAAATTTTAAAAACCTTTACATAGCCAGATTGAAATTATTTGTCACTCGTTTTAATAATATTTTTCTACATGGTTGTTGCATTTATATGCCTTGAATATTCTTAAATAGTAATGTTCTCCCTATATCTAAAAAGGTTCATTGATGAAACAATCCTCATTGAATAATAATAATTAATATTTATGATGCAACTTGATGACGTGAATTAAAATTAAACAAAAAGAAAAAAATTCTGTATATTAAACAATAAATAATATGCAACAAAAAGCTTTAGAAAGTGAAGGAAAATACACTATTTTCAACCTCAGATTTCATAAATTCCGTCAGTCCATGGGAGGGTCACTCCTCCCACATCTACGCCGTTGCATAGGCTGGCAATATGCTGGCAATAATAGAGTAGGCACATTCTGTATTTTGATAGTAATATACTGTAAAAAATCAGGCTGTGATTATCTTGGGGTACATTCAAGGAGATTGGCGATGCTGGCTCAAACTTAAAAAAACACGCTTTTCGTCTATCATTATGTTATTTTCTCTACTTTTTGTAAAAATCTGCCACCAATATGTCAGCCCCCCACAGTCAACTCTCTTCTGTATCCGCCACTGACGACTAACGTACATGTATTTGCAGGGAAACGGACAAAAGCCCTCCCGGACATCCCCTTCAAAAATGACAAGGAGGACAAAAGCCCTACCGTAAAAAAAGTAAACAAGACTGGGCGGACAAAAGCCCTCCCGTGAAAAAGACTGGGAGGACAAAAGCCCTCCCGTAACACCACTATATATGTATGGTAAATACCTGTGTTCTTTTCAATGCACTCAACATATTAATATCAAAACATATATGTTTGAAAGTAATCCTTTCATATTTACGTGAATTAATATACACTTACAGATATTAGCACTTATTATTAAGATGCAGGTCTGGAATGTGCTTAAGCTCATACAAACACGTTTATGCCCATGGAATAAAATATATTCATGAATACAATTTTAATATGTTGAGTACATTGAAAAGAAAATACAAGCTATTCAACGTACATATATGTTTATGCTGCTAGAAGGCCTTTGTCCGCCCTGTTATTTTCACGGGAGGGCTTTTGTCCGCCCAGTCATTTTTACGGCAGGGCTTTAGTCCGCCCTGTTATTTTCACGGGAGGTCTTTAGTCCGCCTTGTCATGTTTGGGAGAGAGGGCTTTTGTCCGGGGACGCTTTTGTCCTACACTAGTTGTTGCAGGGAGTGTTTCAATACTAATTTATATGTTTGGGATGTTTCACATTAACGACTTTGCTGAGGCCGTTTCAACACGTACATGTATTGGCCGTTTCAACACTAATTTATATGTTTGGACAATTTCACATTAACAATTTATGTTTTTGCTTGGCCATCTCAACACTTACTTATATATTTTGGCAGTTTCACATTAACGTTTTTGTTGAGACCGTTTCAACACTAAGTTATGTGCTAGAACAGTAAAAGATAAGGGAAAAGACACATGACTGGTAGTAATTTGGGACTCTTGACTTTAACTTTAAAGAAGGATGGTGATAAATAACAAAAGATATAACGAAGTTAAGAAGTTAATCAAAGCTTTAATGACTGATTGCGTAGATACTTTTATATGATTTAAAAACAAAATGTACAACAGTAAATAAATGTCTCTTTATTTAGTTTTAAGCATATATGTTCGATAAATAAGAAAATATCATTAAAGATCCTGTATGTTGTAATAAAGAATGTAACAACACTTCAGTGATTTTTTATAGGCATATAATTATTCTACTAAAAACAATTTTCAAACATTTACGAATATGTTTATCATGTACTGCAAATGTTTAAGCGCATTTTTTGTAATCAGTAAAATATATTCACTCATTTGTTTTTGAAAAAATTGGCTCGGACTTTATAAAAAATAAATTTCTAATAACCCCCTTTACTTTATTTACATGAGATGTCAATTCGGTAATATCTTTACAAATAGTGCTTTCTGGAACTTATAATATTATTAAATCTTCATTGGAGCATCATAATTATGAAATTAAACCATAACAAAATTGAGTTACAGGATCTTTAAGAATACATACATTTTATTTATAGGTACTCAAAGTAAAACAACAAGATTCGGTTCTTTCTTTTTTTTGATGCTATGCTTTAAAACAAAATAAAGAAAAATAAAATTTTATACTGCATTATCTAAGACTTACATAACACAACTTATTTCTTCGGCTGAAATTTGTTAAAATTTATTAAATCTTTATATTTATGCACTGATTGACATTAAGAACAACAACGAAAGCAACAACCACATAAAATATGCTAAAATGGTCTTTCTGTAATTAAGATTAGAAATAATTTCATGAATCACTCAATGGAGACACTTGAGCGGCTCTTATGTGTCAGATCAAAGTTGTTTGCACGGTAAAATACCGGCGTAACTTGCTGGGCGTACGAATGCGATTATGGTGTTGCTGTTTACAGCAGTAAGCCACAATGAATTTACCAGAGGATAGTAAAGCCCCCGCATCGTTACTTGGCAAGCTGCCAAACAGTTTACAAGTACTTGATGCCTTCATTTTCACAAGGAACCTATTTCTTCTGTACATGCCAGAACAGATGTACAGTGCGAATGAGCGTAGAAAGAATTTCATGATTAATCACAACGAAAATGGCACGCACAGTTCAGGAATCGAACCCGGATCGACCGATTTACATTTCTACATATTGAGCTAAGCGGACGGTGCAATTGCAGTGAGAAAATGAGCCCGTAAGTATACACCAGAGTGGCACCATATCTAAAGTGCATACAACAAACAAATCCACAGCGGCTGGAGGTAAACATTTAGACATTTCGATTGATTTAGAATATTTTGTCGAAGTTACCTATAATTAAATTAGTAAATATGGGTCCTTTTTAATCCTATTTTTTATATTTAAAAAAATATAATATATGAATCATCATGATTTAAAATATAAGCGTTTTGTATGAGTTTTATTTTTTTACGGAAGAATTTAAAACTATCTTTAAACATATTAAAAGAAATGCTCCGTTATTAGATAAATAAGGTATTAGTTCAGAGGCATGTAATACAATAACTGTACTTCTTATGTTGTGGTATGCTTTTGTAATGATAAAACTATACATGTTTTTAGGAATAACACTGAAGCAAGTTTTAGGTATCGTGTTTAGATAATTATATAGTTCAGTGTTCGAAATATATTACACAATTTGTTGACAACAACAACAACAACAATACACGCACACCCAACCTCTTAAACAGCAACAAAAAAAAGCAACACACTCACCCTCGTATAACGACAACACAACAACACACCCACACTCATCCCTTAAAACAACAACAACACACACACTCACCCCTAAAACAACAACAACACACCACACTCACCCCGAAAGCAACAACAACAACGCACCCACACTCAGCCCCTAAAACAACAACAACACACCTACATTCACCCCCTAAAATAATGACAACACACCTACACGCATCCCCGTAAAACAACAACAACAACAATACACCCAATCTCACCCCTTAAAACAAAAACTGCAGCAGCACACCCACACTTACCCCCTAAAACAAAAACAACAACACACCTACATTCACCCCCTAAAACAACAACAACCTATCTACACGCACACCCGTAAAACAACTACAACAACAACAACAATACACCCAACCTCACCTCCTAAAACAAGAACAACAGCAGCACACCCACACTTACCCCCTAAAACAAAAAACAAAAAACAAAACAACAACACACCTACACTCACCACCGTAAAACTACTACAACAACAACAAGACACTCACCACCTAAAACAAGAATAACAGCAGCACACTTATACTTACCCCTTAAACAACAACAGGAACAGCATTATTTACGTAATATGTATATATGAATTATAACCAAGACAAACAATGCAATATATTGTGTTTAAATTCTAATGTTTGTTACACATAACATCGATTGTTATAAAAACATTTTATGCACTCTCTCACAGCTCCATATCATGAAATGTTAAATTGTAATCCTTTAGGCTTTATGCAATTAGATTTTGAATTGAAAATTGAATTAAATATAACTTATAACACAATGCAATTACGAAATACGAGTTACACAATTAATGAAAAAGCTTTAATATGCGGACAACAGAACACTTATTTAGCTAAACAATTGATTAACTATAATTCTGAAATACTTTTAATTGATACATTGTAATAATATCGAGGTGTAAATGCATTAAAATGCATAGTTGATACTGACGACATATTATTAAAGAGTATTTGATATAACTGCCAAGTTTGTCAACAAACGATACAAATTACGCTTCAAATCGGACACTATTTGATGTAAGCAAAAAATACCATCTTTATATGAAATACCATCTTTAATTTCTTAATCGGCAATGGTTCCATAATTGCAAAATTTAAATTAAAAAATATATCATGTAATGGATGGTGAGAGAAGTAAATTTTTTTTTAAGTTTTTTTCTCTTGACAACGACCGGTGTATATTAAGAATATGCCTACAATTACTACATATATGCGTTGATGACCAAGTTAAATCAGTTTATGCTTATGTAAAACAAAAATTTTGCTCACCATTAAAGGGACTCCACTGAGATGTTTTTGAAAATCGGGGCTGGAAATATTTTTTTCGAGATTCATGTTTCAATTTCATGCAGATCTAGAACAGTTACTTGTGTGCAAAATTTCAAATCATTAGCTCAATTCATTTTTCCAAAATGATTGTCTAATTGTGAAAAATGACCCAAGATTGAAAAGCATTGCAATGATTTTCACTGAAATTGAAATATATGTTTTTTGGCTTTTCGTCCTCAATGGAGATAAACATGTATACTACTGAGGTCGACCATTGATACAAATATAAAACCTCTTCGTTTGAACATTTTCACATTCAAAATAACAGATAATACACTAGTAAAAGATCCTAAACAATCCATAATGAAAGCAAAATAAAAACGTTTGTATAAATGTCTGAATAAAATCACATCTTTTCAACTTGTCGCTCATTAGCTTCTAGGATTACACAAGGTCACTGTCAATCACACTTTGGACTCGTGGCACTCTCGTCTGCTACCACTATAAAAATTATAAGAAAACTAGTTGATTAAAGCATCATGCCTCCAGATTCATATTTATTTTCATGAAATTTAGATAAAGTTATGGAATGCATAGTTAATCTCAGACTTTGTCCAGCGCAACTTTGAAAAAAGACTCAATATACATGTTCCTCTTTTTTCTGCACAATACCATCCGTCTGAGAATTATATGTATGGCTAGTAGATTCGAAGTAAGAGATGAAATAGAATTTTAGTAACCGTCGTATCACAATTCAATTATGACGCCATTATTTAAAGAGGCAAAGTAGAAAATTTTATCTGAATAAAACTTTATGCGTATATCAAAACGTTTGTTTCATTATGCCAAGTGCAAAAAAGTAGTATGATTTTATTTTTTGTAAAAAATTAAAAATATCCTTAGTAATCTATGTGCATAACTTGCCATCATTCTGGTTGTAGGCGATAAACAATTCACCGTTAGGATCGCACCGGGCACAGCCACCTCCACAGTTTGCAGATATCATGTTGTTGTCGATGGTTCTTTGAAAATTTGTTATTGTTGGTATATGACCATCTGTAATCCATTCAACCTGAATAAGATGAAGAAGAAGAAAAGATGTCGTCAGCAAGTTTATTGTCATATTATCAAGACAAATTTAGTCGCCCCGTACATTTTATCAAATAATTTATATTTTCGATCCTTGAAGATCGTTCAGCACGATATTATTATTATTATTATTGTGTGTACAAGTAAGTAAGTAAGTAAGTAAGTAAATTATTTATTATCGTGACATGTGCATTGACATAATTACAAATATACATATCATATAAGTAAACATAAACTAGGCACCCGGCCCGATGGGCCTATATGTCACCATGGCAAATGCTATTCATTATAACATGCTATAAAATACATGTTTGTGGTATCTAGTCGCGTGGTTCCAGTTTTCCTACATGAATACAAAATAATCACCATTTGGATGAGCTGCCTGCTTTTTAAATATGTCTTTGGCAACTTGTCCGAGATATGCAGGATTCATTACTTCTGACCCTCTTTCAAAATTCCATTTTATTTAGAGTTCTACCCATTGTTTTCTCATTTAGGACACACGCATTGTTTTACTTGGGTATGTTACTTAATTCAAAATGTCACCATATTCATGTTTAGATGTTGACTTATGCTAAAGCAGGTGCTAGGGGGCTTGGATGGTAGCTTGCACTTTCAAGTGCCGTCCATGAACAGACTCAATCATCCGAGCTGACAACATTTGCAATTTTGTCGTTTTTGGCATTCTTTAGGATTCTTTTTTCATATATTTGATTGTGTCTGTTCATGAGAGATAATGAAACAATGCAACATCTCTCAAGCCTCCTAGCACCGGCTAAATGTAATTGAAGGCTTGTTCCCATTAATGTTTGTAGTCATAAAACATTTTTGTTTACGTTCCATCATAACGAAATGTTGTCGCTTATTGTTTTTATCGAATAAATACGAAACTTGATTATTGTCGTACTTTCATAAAAATGTCCCTGAATAACAGCAAATCATCAAGTCTACATCAGAAATCATGTAGCTTAAAAGATGAAATATGTATACCTCATTCCTAAATTTCAGCCCTGTACCTTGCAAGGAGATGCTGAAATATCCTTCCGCACTACAAGCGCCGCCTCTTCCATACGGTAGATCGGGAAGATCAGAGTTATCTTGTGGAGTACTTGTACTGAATATGAAGTCATGACGCATGATTTTCCCCTCCTGGAAATTATAATCGCGTAAAAAAGCTTATCAATGTTTTTACACGTGTGTGTAAACAGTTATATTTATATCAAGTCTTTAAGTATTATTTTTCTTTTCGGAATATCTGGCTCGAGGGTAACTGTTAACTGCGTTAACGAGCCTCTGTCGAGTTTCCACTGGACAGATACCCGAGAGATAGATATTTTTACCTGTTACGACAACCAGTGCTTGATTCTATAATTTCTGTTTCTTGCATATAACATATAACTGATATTTCGGGAAGTGATTACGAAAATATGTATTTTTAGTTAGCACTTTTCTCTTATACTATGAAGAATCATTCAAAGGACATTCTAAGAATGCAACTCATACATAACATGCGCGCGGGGATGACGTCAATTAAAGCACTTGACTTGTCTTACACGTGTAAAGCAGCTGATATTCAAGAAACAAGTTTAAAAGCATTCGGATTATATTTTTGTTAAAAGAAATATGATTGCATAAAGGTTACTTTATAGTTAAAGAAATAAAGGCTTCTATTTTGTCAATGCATGCACATTTTTCTTAATGATAAATACATCTTGCACTGAACATGTAGTCTTGAAAATCTTCGACATATTAAAATACACATTAAAAGGTACATTATGTCTCAGAAATCCATATTTTCTCTTTAGAAATCCGAAGCACATGTGTCCCGTACTTCACTTCAGTCTTGATATATTTTTCTGGTCCTTTTGGATCATTGATTATAGCACTTTTAAATTTTGAAAATTGAGTACCGCTCAAGCCGGTGCTAGGGGTTTTGAGGGATGTTGCACTTTTTCACTATCCCTCATGTACAGACTAAAATAAACCGAGTCGGAAATTTTAATGTAATTTTGTTGTGACCAATACTTCCGAGGATCACACTTCTTTGGGCAATTGAAGAAAGTAGGCTGAACGCTCAGTAATGTGTCGTTAAGGTATCAAAATGTAAACAAAGTAGCATTTTGACTTCCATTCAAAATAGTTTAGCTATTTACCAATTGCAAACAGAAAAGAAGCAAACGTTTGTTTATGTATGTGGTAATGAAATTATTTTGTTTAAACCGTAACAAATTAACAAAAATTTAAAGATTTTGAGAAATAGAAATGAAAGCATTTCTAAGGCATAATGGGCCTAATAATATCTAATTTGGATAAATTAAAAACATGACATGACTTTGATTTTCTAAATGATACCATGATATTGACACGTATTTTCCTGAATCTCTTGAACACGTCTTTTAACGTTGGCTCCCCAGCATAGAATCCATAATTGTCTTTTTCATTTACTGAAATAGATAGTAATAATGTTTACAATACGACCCGATTAACTTAGATCATCAATTTATACGATTTTATATATAATTGATAAGTCATTATTTCTTCTTCTTATATATTTCTTTAAATTACATTTTAAAATGGTAATTAACATGCAAATTTTGTCATTATATAAATAGCCATCAGACAATTTTATATAGCACAAGTGCAGTTAAGGAATCGATATATATTGATAAATGTTTTGCGAGTCGGTGGCTTAAGAAAATACCAATTTGATGTTCTCTTTAGCACAATACATACGTGTACTCATAAATGATTGCAGACAAAACTAGATGTATTATTTTCAAATATGCACGACATTTACTTATCTTCAACCTAACTCTTTTTTCGAATTAACGAATTAACCGCTAGAAATTGTATTGAAATCAAAGCGTAAAAGCGGAAAATTTATGTTCCAAACCTGATATGTACTCTAGCGGTTCTTCTGTGGACATTCCAGCGCAGTATATTTTGACCATATGACCTCCGAGAACTTCCGAATATAGCCAGTATTCACCATCAGTGTAGGAGGGCCTACATAGTTTGACATCTTTACATGTCCATGGGACTGAATACACAACATCATACTAATATAATTCATACTAATATAATTCATAATAATAAAATTAATACTAATATGATTCATAATATTAATATAATTCAAGCAAATATTGTTCATGCTAATATAATTAAAATAAATATAACTCATGCTTATTTAATTCAAGCAAATATAATTCAAACAAATATAACATGCTAAAACAATACATACTTTTATATTTCGTTCTAATATAATTAATATTTATATAATTCATGCTTATGTATTTCAAACAAATAGAATACATACTTATATGATTCGTACTTCTATGATATAATTCATGCTGATATGATTCATGAATAAAATATATACTTATATAATTCATGATTATTTACTTCATGCCAATATAATTCATGCTAATGAAATTCATGCTTATATAATTCATGCTCATTCATACTAATGCAATTCATACTTTTATAACCTATGTGAATATAATTCATGCTTATATAATTTACGCTTATCAAATTATTAGATATACTTCGTGCTTGTATAATTCTAGCTTATATTAACCGTGCTTGTATAATTCATAGAAATGTAATTCGTGTTAATAAAATTCATTCTTGTATAATTCATATTAATATAATTCATGCTAAAATTATTTACGCTAATCATAATTCATTCTTATATATTTCATGCTAATATAATCAATACTGTTAAAATCCATGCTGTAAAATTAATGCTAAAGACCCTTAGAAGTATTGAAGGGTTTCCTCTATAGATACAAAACCATTTTTACAGATGACTGAAAAAATGACACAAACTGATTTAATAAAACATTATATCTTTAGGAAATGGTTGCCCAAATAAACTTAATACAGATGTGTTATAAATATGTTGTGTAAAATTTGAAACGATTCTTGAAAGATCGCGAAAATATGTTACAAATGTTCCGTACCTTGTAACAGAAAGTAAACTATTCAAATGCAAAATATTAACCTTACATAATTCATGTCAACTATGAATGAACTCATAACTTAGAGTAGCTTATATTTGCGTATGTTTTCATACTATCACGGTGTCTGAAAATGTTTGTGTACAAATAAAGTGCCAAAACGCTAGTTACCATACGGAAAGATTTTAAAATAACAGAAAGATAATTATTTTGACATATATTTTATTGCAAATATTGAATTTATGAATAGTTTATTTGCAAAGTATTAAATGGCCTTACATTTGAGTTACGCAAGTTGGTTACGCATCTGTAGTTTTGAAGTGTATGAATTCAAGGTAAATAACGCATTCCGCAACCAAATCCAGGAACAATCGACCAATAGAATTCATAGACTGTTATCTAGTTACGGTACGAAATTCATACGCAGAAACAAGTCTATAGAGGCGAAAAACTTCATTTGACAGTTCTGTTCGAATAAGCGTTACCAATGTTAATATGAAAATGGTCCACTAGGAAAAATTTTGTAAACGTTATTGTCAATAACTAATTAACGTAAACAAATTCATTATATATTAACTGAGTATTTCTATGTGTGCAACGGATATAATACGGCGTAACTTTTGATCTTACAGGAAACATACGTAAGCGCGCATCATTAACCATTTTCTTTGTGCAGGGAACATTTCCGCGAGAAGGACACTTAATATCTACCAGATTATCACTAATATATTATTACAAAGAACAATAAAGATAATTTAAGTTTGGTTGTATGCAAATATAACTTTTTATTACTGTTATTCTTTATAAATATACAAAAGAGTAAAAGGCTTTTATTATAAAATATTCAGTAAAAGGTATTACACCATCAAATTTGACATATCCAGATTGACCTAAATTAAGCAGATAAAAAACAACAAGTTGAAGTTGTTTTTGAAAATTCCGTCATGAGTATATATCTTAAAACTACGTACAAGGTACTCAAGGATATTTTGAACTTACAAACACTCGCAGATGTACGCATATGGGGGTTATCATTGAAATCCATAATGTAAAGAAAAAAAAAAAACAGGTTACAGTTTCAATGGGCCTTTTCATGTGCAGTCCTGGAAATTGAAAGTTACTTTTGATGCCCCCTTCCCTATTGCCGGCTTTGACAAAATTCAACATTACATTACAATAGTGATTGTTTGAGCTTACAAACACTCGCAGATGTGTGCATATGGTGGTTATCACTGAAACATTACTTTATTTAGTTTTTCTCTTTTAGGACACATGCATTCTTTAAACATTGGGGATCTTACACCAATTTTCGTGAAAAAAAAATACGAAATTGTCTCAATGAAGGGTTCATGATAATCGCTCATAAATCAAAGAAAGACAGGACACAACAATAACAACAACAAAACAAAAAACAAGCAAACAAGAACATAATTTTAAGAATTTTACAATGCATTTAATAAGGCGTTAATGTGCAGATACATGTTAATTGGAAAAGAATTGCCCATAAATGATTACAGAAACAAAGTGATTTTACTGTTTATAAATTCTATATACATGTAAATATTTTGTTAGACATCGGTTATTAGGGGTGTGGAAGGTAGCTAAGTACTACTCTTTCGTCAATGAACATGGTTTTCAAGACTTTCAATTTTGCCGTTTTGTGTGTATTTAGGGATAATGTTTATAATATCTCTATTTTGTACATTTAAATGACTTAGGTTATTCTATACTTATACATGTGACAAGTGACAAAATAGAGGTAGTTTTAATTAAATTTGTTATTGTTTTTTATCTGAAGTATTTAAAAGTTACAATAACAACAACAAAAACAAAAACAATTCTAATGAATTTAATTTATCACGGAGTTACATACAACATCAAGAAATTAAAACTAGTAATTACTACAAAGACAATTAAGATTATTTCCGTACTTATACATTTGCAGACATGTGAGGCCCCTTTTTGATAACATCGTTGGTTGGTTTTACATGGCCTTGAACTACAGCTTCCAACCATTGTCTGTAAAAAAGGCAGCCTATATGACTGAAATACTGTTGGGAAAAGGCATAAAATGAAACAAACATACAAACCGTAAAACAGGAGGAAAAATCAAAAACCATATATGTTGCATTTAAGCGACCATCATCATCAGCTTTTATTTTCTGTTGTTAAAACAATTTTTTTTTTTAACTTAGTATTTCAGTAATTTTAGCTTTGACAAAAGTGCCTCATATCACTGCAAAGCCTCCTAATACTTCAGCGTCCCAAGAGGTACTTATAACGCTTCAGTGACGGTCGTTTTCAAAAATAGAAGATCGAAAATGAAACGCCCGCTTTACTAATTTATATATAGAGAGAAGAGGTATCAAGTGGTTTCCTTTTATCTTCGGCAACTTTCAGTTTCAACCTTAATTATTTTGATTTGAAAATTATATCAACCGATTTATCTAAAAATAACATATCTAATCTTTAGAAAAGCTGGAGGTCTCTTTAAAACATGATTTGTTAATTACACAAAAACTATTCAAATTTGTATTGACTGACAGAAAAACCGAGCATGAACTTTTTTAAATTCAGCGCACATAATGGCAATTAAATAGGTATTTTCTTATTTCGATAGACAAAAACATTAAAAATAAAAAAAGATAAAAAAATGTTTAGACAATCAAAATCAAGGTAATTTTAAGATCAAATTTATATCTGAATGTTTCAACAATTTGAATTTGAGATTATTCTATTTAATGATTTAATAAGTCATCCCAATTTAAATAAAATTATAAAAATTGACCTTAATGGTCAAGGTTTATATCAAAGTAAAGACAAAACTTGACCACTAAATCATTTCGTCTTTGATATAAGTGTTGATTTGTCCAAGTATAAGTCAAAATAGTAAATACATAAGACAGTTATAATATTTGAGGGGTTAATTAATTTGTGAGGCCTTGACGGCCATTGTCATTTTAAGGTAATTTTAAAATAACATTTAACGCGTCAATTAGGTCAGAAGTGCATTTTGTCCAAGAATAACTCAAATCTTAAAAAAATATAGGTATGGCCAATTTAAGTAATTATCTGACAGTCAAAGTCATTTCAATGTCAAGGTCCTATTTGAGTATTTTTTTCATTATGAAGCGTATTCTTCCCAAGTTTGATTGGAATCTCAAAACAAATAACAACAAATTTAAGAGGGACAAAACAATAATTAGACTTCAATTGTCAAGTTCACTTTTTTCAAATAATCTTGATTGTCCACTTTTTGTATTACACAAAATATACCCAATTATAGTGGAATTTTTTGGAATATTTTATCTTCAAGGTCATTTTTTTTAAATTTAAGGTCAAGTTCACTTTAGTCTTCTCCTTAAGGTGTTTTGTGATCAAGTATTATAATAATCTATTTATATATAATACATTGCAGAACCCATTTAAATATTCAATTCCACTTCGGTTCTGTCCGTGTAGTACGAGAATTAATATGGAGTATATAACTAATATTTTGAAGGTCACACCAGCTAAATGAACAGGTCCGGATTACATCCGCAGTAGTACAGTCGGTTAAGTGATGGCCTTATATATGAGAGGTCCGTTGTTCGATCCCAAACGCTGCAATAGTTTTGGACCTAATCTTTCTTTATGTTTGCAGTATGTCTTATTGGAAACGTGCTTGCATATTAAGTTGGAATATAAAGCATCTTAGAAACAATGTTTGGTGTCGAGTTTAATCTGAATGAAATAAAATGAAATTAATATTAATTCTTAAACCTTGCTATTTAAACAGAGTAAGTGCAAATTATATTAAAACAAAACGGACAACATAAAATCAATCAATCAATTCTATAATGTTGAAAATATAAATAAGGAAAAAAACATGTACATTCGCGGCTTCAATCTTACAAGACGTAGGACTTTTATAAATTATAACCCCGTAGTTTACCCTATTGAGCTATGACGCTCAACATAATTATTATTTTATAGACAGAAAAAAATGGACAAAAATCTTTCGAAAAAATATATTGTGTGCATTGACCGTATAATTATTATGCAATTGACAGGTTTATAAAACCAAACAATAACACAATTA